CATTAGAGATTTTCAAATGATGATGCTTGAGCTTAACACAAAAACAACAAAACTCCCAACAAAGTCAAAGTTACAAGTAAGTAGCACTTGCCCTTCTTGACCAGGCATGTTTTAAACAATTCTTTTGGATAAGGTCTAGTTGTTAACACATTTTTGCTAGTCACTTTTCCAAATGGGATCATTGTACTAAATACCTTCAAAATTAACTTCCCATCAGTCAGGAGGGTGGAGTGGAGTAAGACCCTCTGCTACAAGCTGTGATATATTTCTGTGTTCTGTCTGTGTCCCCAGTAAAGCTGAACTGAGTTAAATTATTTTTGTCCCCAGCATAAACTCAATTCTTACCTTTTTATATTTCTGTCCCATAGATTAGCTGGTGACAGAAGGAGACATCCTTTAGATGGGAGATATCGTTGATCAGTCATAATACCAAGACCTGAAAGCGGTGCTGCATTGGAACCTAAATCCACTTTTAAACAAACGTCACTGAGCTCCACTGTGTGTCTCCTTGTAAACAAGATGAATAAATCATGTTAAAACAATAAATATCCTTAAATAATTAGTAAATACAAGCTGCTCTAAGGATCTGAATTACTAAGCATTTGTTGCAGTTAATTAACCAATTATTGCCCATAATTTTACATAGCATTGAAGAAGCAAGTGTCACTTTATCAAAGGACAGGCTATAGTGGAGTTTGAACAGCCAAGTGGCTGCTTATTGTATTAAATTTTTTTTTACAGTTCTAGGTATTGTAATTTTAATAGCTTATTTATGTTCAATTATGAAATTCTGCAGTATTCAGGAAGCTAATTTGCAACCTTTCTCTATAAGTAACTGTCCTTGTTATGGGGTAGAATACATACCCATGCTGATACTGGAAATCTGTGATGAACTTTGTGATTTGAAAGGCAGGTTTTAGTGCTTCTTTTATGACCATGTTACTCTGAAGGTGAGGCCTCCAAGGACTTACATGTGCCACCAGAATAAACTGCTGTATGTATAACACTGGATCACCTACAAACTGAAAAAAAAAAGTTTACTCAGGCAACAATGAAATAAAAAAAGAAAAGAAAACACAAGCAATAAATAGGAGAACCACCACAGAGAAGGAAGGCAGCGTGCAAACCCCAGCCTCCCTCCCCATTTTTGGACTTGCCCTTTATAGGCAAGCTGTGACTTATGATTACTAGCCTGAAAGTCATTCTCACTAGCCCCCCAAATTTCATCTCTTTACATTACTTCTGTAATTTGAATTTCCTCAAAAATTTTGCTAAGGAAATTCACTGGCCTGTCGGACAAGTGAAGGGCAGGATCCAACAGCCCCTGGTAATTGGACATGACTTTCTTTGCATACACTTAAAGTGGGGAGTCTTGAAAATAAACTGGAAGGAATTCCAAAAGCTCTTCTGAGAGGTAGGTACAAGAATAGATAATTTCCGGAACAGTGCAACAACAAATATACAAGAAATATTAAACATGTTTGTTCTGTACCCATCTTGGAATGGTGCTGCCATTTCCCTGTAAAATCCTCGGTGCACTTCCTTTACTGTCAGCTACAGATACTCCAGATGAACTCAGCGTGATCCATTCTATAGCTGCTGAACCTCCAAACAGTGGTACAGACAGAAGAGGAGCACTAATGGAATCACAATAACAGTGGTAAACACTGAAGTCAGTTTAACCACTACTCTGTCAAGTCTGCGTCAGGCCAATGGCCCATACATGCACAGTTCAAGCTTATTCTCGGTATGCACATGATGTCATCATTTTCAAAAATCCAACCCCATAGAGCCACCATTGAAGTTATTATCCAGCATCAGGCATTAGAGGAGGTAAAATTAATTTATAGCTGTTAACAACTTTTCAGCTCAATAGCTTACTGCATCTCAAAACAGGCACATTTTGAATTTCAGGGTTAAGAGGGTGCGTGACAAAGCTATGAATGCGTTTGTCGAAAAAAAAATATACTTATCTCCTGATTTTTAGCCTTTTTAGAAGTTTAATGTATTAGGAAAAGTGCTTATTTAAATGCTTGCTTGATCAGTTCTGATAATCAGTCACCTAGATAGCCAGAGTAAGTTCCATATGTTTACTCTGTTTTCCAGCCATCATGTTGGTGTACCATGGAGGTACACCAACATGATGGCTCCATACTGGGCTCTATAAATTTGTGCAAAATATTTCGAAGACCATTTGAAGTTTAGGAAAAAGAACAGAGCTAAAACTTGGAGAAGTGTCTTTTTTATTTATCTCCTATAACATCATAATTTCTTATCTTTATACACTGAATGGTTTTTAAATTATTTTTTATTGCATGACAGCACAACACAACACGATCTGGATTCCAACGTGCTAACTATGAGGCCACTGCACCTTCACCACTCCGTAATATGAGAGTTCTGATAATGACCTGACTTAGCACCTGGGACACCAACTCAATAGTGAGAACTCAAGGCAGAGGGTGTTTACCTCGGTTGAAATCCTACATTTTATCATAATTTGTTGTAGATGTTATAGGATCAAGCAAGATCCCTTAGGATCGTAATCAGGAATGGGACCTCAATTAGGATCCTAAGTACAGGATTGCACATGTATAGGATCCTGTAAGATTCTCAGTACAAGATCTTATTACATGTAATATTGGCTCTCGCACAGGACCTTATGGTCAATTGATTTTTCCACGGTTGCATGTGATCCTTGTCTTGAAAATTAATATCTTACATAAATATTTCTATATCGATTTCAAAGCCAGATTTGGTATAAATTATTGCCTTTTCTTTTAGTGTTTCATCAATTTTTGGTACAGTACGGGAATTGAAGGGAATCACCACTATTATGAAAGTCAAATTCGTTAATTCCATAAATTGATTGTGATCGGTCCTCTCACCTGCAAGTTATAATTACCAGTGCTGCGAAGCATAGCACTAACTTTGGATGTGTGGCACAGAACAGTCCATGCTCATAACACAGACGGGAAATCAAATCGGCTCCGCTTTTTATCTCCTCGACAACTTCGGGTTCTTTGGTGGTGACAGTAGTTCCGCTTTCCATTGTAATTCCATTTGCGCTCATACTCACGTCTGTAGCTTTGAGAAGTTTCGTACTTCTGTCCTCATGAACGATCTACGCCCTTTGCGTCCTTTACTCAACCGTTTCCAGAGTTTATCTTTTCACTGAATTAAAATGGCCATGCTCAATTGCCACGATGTTTTCGTGGGGATCACGAGGACCACGTTTTCCACAGGAGTGTCAATTTGTTGGTTCGAGTCTTGCCCAAGTTTGGAAAGATCACGGAATAAGGAGCGTATCACTTCAATCCACAAATGCTGACACTCCTCTCTCCTATCCGTTTGCTGCCATTGCGCTATGCTGCTTGTGATATAACGAACAAAAATAAAGTGGCTACAAACTGTTCAAGTCTAAAATTGGTTTCGACGCCATTTTTGTCTTCTCCCAGGCGCATGACCGTGATTTAGGATAGAGCGTGGGCTCAAAAACAAATGGCGGGAAAACGATCAAAGCTTCGGTATAAATGATACTGTATTTAAGGGGGTCTTATACTCTCAGATATAAATTTTTCTCCAGAAAACCATTTTTTTGGAAGATGAAGATTCAACATCCCTGTCCATTTGTAAATCGTATTTTGAAACGATTTTCCTCTAATTACTCCTGAATTTACGTTTAAATTAAGAAATCTGAACACTTCTAGATATATTTCAACATAGCAACACCCATAGCAACCATTGTTTACAGTCTAAAAGTACTCACAAAATGGATTCAATTCAGTACATTTTAATGATACTTTACA